GGGAGGACCTAGGGACAAAGAAACACGACGCCTTTTATTTTTCCAGTTTTAAAGGCAGGTATGCGATTTTTTTTTTTTAAAGAGAGATTTTTGCTATAGGGCACATGCACTCACCAGAGAGACAGGACAGAGACAGAGAGAAGGAAAGTGAGAAATAACCCCCCCAGGGGGATGGTTACACTACAATCCCTTCTCCTCTCTAGATCTTGGGCACACATACACATGTACTCAGCATGAGTTTCAAGCCGCTGTGTCTGGGACTTGAACTGCAGTTGGCCATGTGGAAATCCAGGGACTTAACTACTACGCCACATGCTGGCTCCCAAGTATGTGATTTTTAACTTTTTTGAATATAAGCTTCTGGACAAATATTGGGTAACAAGCTACAAAAAGTATTTCAAGGACCAGAAAATGGTGAAATGGTTATTCACTGGACTCCTACATAGCTGACCATGGTTCAAGTCCTGGACCCAGCAGCTAAAAACTCACACTGGGCGTGTATGCATGCATGCTCAAAATTCCTAAAGGAGAATGGAGGTGAAGGGATTGTGGTGTGGCTGTTCCCCCAATGAGTCCCCCCTAGCTTTCTGTCTCTCTGTCTCTCCAGTGAGCACACACACCCTATAGCAAAAATCTCTCTTAAAAAATATATATATATTCATTCCAGCATGAAATGGGTGCATCAATGGTAGGAAGGTACCTGCCATGGTTAGGATGAATGGCCTGTTGACAGTGGTATGCTAGAGAGATTTGAGTATTGGATACATTAGACTAGGATAAGAGAAACTGAGAGGCAGAATGGTATGATGGTCACATGAAGTGCTCACTCAGAAACAGACACATTTGGGAACCTTTCCTACTCATTTTATATGATCCTGAACACACAACTTTTCTGAGCTTCCATTGCCTCATCAGGGAATGGAATTGCCAATCTCATAAGGTTGTTTTGATAAATAAACATATTAATGCGTACAGAGAGCTTCATAGTTTGCTTGGCATGTAATGCATAATAAGCAATGCCTGTTCTTACCCATTAGTCATGAATATTAGGGTTTATAGTACCCTCATAGTCAAATATAAACTTTTCTAATATCGAGTCAAGGAATTTAACCTACAACATCTACATTTCTAACCACAAGGGGGCAAAGAGTCACCCCAACTCATACTCTGGGACATACCTCAAGGAGAAGGGTGGTAAGAAAGCAGTAAACAATAAAAGGGGAAAGAGATATGAACTTCAATCCACATTCTCATAGACAGAGACAAATCAGGCCATGAATTTATGTAGTTTTGCTGTGCTTTGAGTTTTATATTATTTTTTTCAGGGCAGAGAGGGGCTAAAGGAAAGAGGGTTTGGCTTTCATAAAAATAAAATATCTGTTGAGTAAATAGTTTTCCTAAAAGTTAATGTTTATGGTTACTTTATGATAGTGAGACAAGTATAAAAAGATGGTTAGAAGAGGGAAGTGTTTACAGTCATGCAAGAAAGATGCTAGGAACGTATATGACAATATTCTTCCTACCCATCCACAGCTGTCTCAGGCAGATTCACATCTACTTGCATAAAGACATAAGTACACATACAGGCACCTATGAGTCATTTGTTACTTATTTTTACTCCAAGATTATCCTTCCCAAATTCTTAACAAAAGAAATACAGAAGGGCAACTTTCTCTTGTAAAACGACATTGACACAGGGACAGGTGAATGGATTCTAGTCCCAGCTGGAATACTGAGTAGCTGGTTTGGCACAGACAAGTCACTTAATCAGCATTTTCACCCACCTGATGAAGGGTTAGGTAACCTAGCCCAAGTTGAACTCCAAGAAGTTTTCCTATCCTAATAGTCTCTTACTCTCGAATGCATGGAACACTGTTCTGAAGTCTAGCACCTAATCTTTAGTTACCTGGTCCAAGAGCCACAATTCATGTGAAAATACCCAGAGGTACAGAATGTTAGAATTGGAAGAAACTTTGGCAATCATGCAGTACCATGCCTTCAGTTTGTAGATAAAGAAACTGTGACTCAGAAGGATAAATTAATTTTATCAAAGATAGTAATTAGAGACTGGGCAAGGACCACAGCCCAAATCCTCAGAAATTTTGATGATCATTCCCACATCTGCATGTACACACACACACACACACACACACACACACACAATAAATAAATAAATAAAATATAGTGATATTTTAAAAGCTCTGTTGGATATAATTTAGATATCATAAAACTCACCCATTTTAATTACACAATTAAATGATTTGTAATAAATTTAGAGTTGTAAAGCCATCACCACAATACAATTTTAGAACCCTTTCATCGCCTCATGAAGAGACCTTGTGCCCACTTACAGTCATTCTCCATTCCTAGCACAGCAAACATTACTTCATTTTAATTAAATGCCCACAGATTTACTTTTTCAGAACATTTTATATAAATGGAATGATACGGAGTCTTTTTTCCCAGTTTTACAGGGAAAGGCCATCAGTCTTCAACAAATAATTATGATGCTGTAGAATAGTCAGAATTTCTTTATCGACTTAAGGAAATGCTTTTTTAGTTTTAGTTTTTTAAAAATTTTTATTATGAATTTTAGAGTCTGTCAAATCTTTTTGCATATTTATAGAGATGATTTGTGTATTTTGTCCTTTTTTCATAGTAATGTAGCATTACATTGGTTGAGATTTCTACCAAACCAACCTTGTATTACTGAATGAAATCCTACTTTGGTATGGTGTAATCCTTTTTGAATATTGTTGGATTCATTTTGCTAATCTTTTGTTGAATATTTTTGCATCAAGACTCATGAGGAATATTGGCCTACAGTTTCTTGTGATATCTTTGACTTTGATATTAAGATAATACCGGCCTCATGAAATTAGTTGGAAAGTGTTCTCTCTTACACATTAGAAAATTTTTAAATAATTCGTGTTTTACAGAATTAATTAGTGAAGACATTTGAGTCCAAGCTTTCTTATTTCATCTAAATTGTCTCATTTGCTAACTTAAAGCTATTCAGAATGTGTTTTTATAATCCTTTTAATTTCTGTAAGGTTAGTAAGTGATGTCTTTTCTTTCCTTACTGATTAGATTAAATTAAATTTATTTAATTGGTCAATCTAGATCAAGATTCTCATTCTTAGCAGTATTGACACTTATGCCTATTAATTTTTATTACGGAGGGGCTATCATACATTATACGTTGTTTGATAGTATCCCTGGCCTTACCACTTGGTGTTACACACACACACCACCACCACCACCACTACTACCACCACCACCAAGATATAACAATTCAAAGTTCATCCAAACATTGACAAATGTCTTTTGGTGGGGGAGAGAGGTGGGAATTACCCTGATTTAGATAAAGTTTTTATTTTTTTGAGTTTTTCAAAGAATCACCTTTTCTCTTCATTGACTATACCTAGTTTTCTGGGGGTTTTTTTGTTTATTAATATCCGCTCTAATCTGTTATTTCCTACCTTCTGCTTGCTTTGACTTTAATTCACTTTTTTTTTACATTTTCTTAAGGTAAAAACTTATGTTATTAGCTGCAGAGGCACAAGATTTTAAAACAAATTATATTTCGAACCAGTGGATGGCATAATGGCTATGTCACTGGACTCCCACACAGCCAACTACAGTTCAAATCCCAGGCCTGGTGACTTGAAACTCATGCCAGGCAAGTGTGTGTGTGTGTATGTGCCCTAGACCCAAGAAGAGAATAAAGGAGATGGCATGGCTATCCTTCCTGTGGGGGTGATTTCTCACTTTCTGTCTCTCTGTCTCTCTGGCGAGTGCATGTGCCCTATAGCAAAAATATCTCTCTCTAAAAAAAAAGTATTTTACATAATCTCGATTTTAGAAAACCTAGCTTCTTCACTAGAATAACTGTTTATATGTTAACAACCAGAGAATGGCAAGAAAAAAAAAAATCTCCAACCCTTAATCGTGTTTTCCCTAAGCAAAACACTATATTAAAGAACCCGAACCCTGGGACCAGCAGTTAGCGTAATGGCTATGTCACTGGACTCTCACGTAGTCGACTGCAATTCGAGTCCCGGACCCGGTGGCTTAAACTCACACTGGGCGTGTGTGCGTGCATTTACAAAATCCCCTGAGGAGAAGGGATTGTGGCGTGGCTATCCCTCCTGGGGGGGTGATTTCTTGCTTTCTGCCTCTCTGTCTCTGTCTGTCTGGTGAGCGCACGCACCCTATAGCAAAAACCTCTCCAAAGAAAAACAAACAAAAGAACCCTACCTGGGGTGTCCTTCTATCCTGACTTCTTACCTGTTAACTCTGTATTCCTTAAATTACACAAATCCTCAGGCTAACCTTGGAACTTCTTTCCCACTTCCTATCTATATCCTGAGTTTTGTTTCCTCTTTTCATTCATTTGTGATGACAGATTAACTAATCAGATTGCATGATAGCTGCCGATTGTGTAAGAGAGCATGATCTTTTCTAAGTGCTATAAATAATGAATGCACATATAAGTGGTCAGTAAACAGGAGTAACAAACAAATTACTGTCACAGAAGTGATGACAAAAATAATGAAGAGAATATCTTTGGGGAAAAAAAATCGAGTTTAAAACAAGGACATTTTTCAAATCATGAAAGGATAAAGAAAATATAGCCAGGCACACCAGAAAGGAAAACTGTTTAGTTAGGCTGATGGTCAACCTTCATTCCACAAGCAGGTGCTAAAGCTGGGTTGGGGTTGCTTACTGTCACAGAAGTGGTGACAAAAATAATGAAGAGAATATCTTTGGGGAAAAAAAATCGAGTTTAAAACAAGGACATTTTTCAAATCATGAAAGGATAAAGAAAATATAGCCAGGCACACCAGAAAGGAAAACTGTTTAGTTAGGCTGATGGTCAACCTTCATTCCACAAGCAGGTGCTAAAGCTGGGTTGGGGTTGCTGCCAGGAGTTAAAGGGAGCGATGACTTCAAGTCTCCTCAGTCAGCATCAGAGCTAATCCATGGAAACCAAATTCAGCCAGTGAGCACCAAGGTCAGGAGCACAGCTGACAACAGACCAGACAAAGATGAGGAGCTAGGGAAAAAATTAGTATTTAGGAGAAAGTAGAGAGGACCTTGGGTAGAGAATACTTCCAGTTAGCCTATAGGTTGCCTTTCTGAGTTCTCCAGGCATGTAGGGTATATCTATGGTCTGTGGCCTCAGAGATGACAGGCGTCAGCTGGCAGCCTGCTCTGCTTTTTGGTGACCACAGGGGCACAGGTCCTACTTCTTTGTGAGGCACATACAAGCTCGACAGGGCTTGTGCAAAAAGGAAGTTCAGTTCATTTTTTTTTTCCTTGATTCCAGCCTCTCTTCCTCTCTAAATCCATATCTTTGCCCATGACCCTTCACCAGTCCAATTCACCCTCCATGCCCCTTCACCTTATTAGTCCCTCTCCCTTCGGCCAGGCCCAGCTTCTCTCACTTATTACATTACTGAGCTCTATCCAGACCCAACTCCAGGGCTGAAGAAAATATTCTCTCCCCACCCCAAGCCCTACTTCTTACATAACATCAACTTCTCCTGCTTCAGGACAGCCTGGGTGTGGTACAGTGGTGTTTACAGTACAAGAACATACTGTAGCATTACACAGCCACACAACTGGGAAAATGCTAAAACTGGAAAACTTGTGCTGGAGCTAAAATCCTGTGGGTGCCTTTGTCCTGCACTATGAAACATGTTCATGAGCTGGAGAAGGAGGCATAAAAATAGCTGAAAGAGAGTTTTAAAAGGTGGGAGAGGAAAAGAAGAAAACCTATGAAGTGCTACTTTCACATCAAAGGAGCTTTACGTGTATTGTCTGACTTAATTTCTACAACTCTGTGAAGGAGCTCTTGTATCTTTTATTTTACAGAGGAGGAAAGTGAAGCTCACAGATATTAAGTAACTTGCCTACTATGAAAATGTGACAAAGCTGAGGTTCCAACCCAGGGTTGGATGACTCCAAAGCTTTCCGTTTTCACCACTACACTGCTTTAATACACCATTCAATGGGGAACATGATGGTTACCTTGGGGATCTCTGTGGTCAGTTTTATTTCGCCTGACAGTAGTCCCTAGAGCAGAGAATTTGGGAAGATGGCAGACTGAATGTGTCCTGACTCCCTTCGCCCCAGTCTCTAATTCACTTACTTCTCCTGAGCCAAGCATGGCCGTGGTTGCAGTTGATAACGGTAAAGATAGAGATCACTACGTGTGCAGGGCTCTTCACCCCTGAGCCAGGTAAGAATCTCAAATCAATGTTGAAAACCACAGAGCTGGCCTTCCACATCCGTAGTATACACCTTTGTGTGTTCAACCAACCACATATGGAAAACATACACAAAGAAATAATAAATAAATACAACAATAAAAATAATGCAAAATTTTAAAATACAGTATAACAACTATTTACATAACATTTACATTGTATGAGGTATTATTAGAGATCATTTAAAGTACATGAGAAGATGTGCATAGATTATTTGCAAATACCATACCATTTTATATAAAGGTCTTGAGCACCCACCGATTTTGGTATCTATGGGGTATCCTGGAACCAATGCCCTGTGAATATTGAGGAACAACTTTTTATAGATCCAGGAAGAAATCTTAGCCCATTAGGATTCATGTACAATCCCCACTAACACTATCGAGGAAAAAATAACTAGCCTTGAATAAATGTACCTAGTTTCCTGTCCCTGAGATGCTAAGAAGAACTGGAAAAGGAAAAATTTCTTCTCTCTACTTCTAATGTGGGGGAACTCAAAAAGGCTGGGAAACCTTTTGACTTATTTTTGATGCAGACACTTGCTCCACCATCAGTTCAAAGGGGCAGAGGCCACCAAGTGGTCTTACATCGCTTACAGAATAGCCCCACTTAAGGCGCACCAGCCATTAAACCTGAGCCCATGTGTGCAGGCAATCAAATCAAATAATGATTATATTTGAGGGGGTCTGGCAGTCAGTGTAGAGGAGCTGCTAGAGGAGACTGACAATAAACTGGGCTAAAAAAATTACTAAAGAGATTCAAGGGCAACACAAAAATGCCAACCAATACTAGAAAACACAACTGAAAATTAGTAAATTCAGTAAGTTAATTGACAAAAAAAAAAGATCATCACTGACATTCAAATCACACGCCAGATAAGTGAAATAAATATTTTGAAGAACTGAGCACCCACAGAAAAAGATGATGGTCATTAGGAAAAAAGTCTTAGGGAATAATTTGAAAAAATATAAGAGAGAAACGTGTACTAAAAGAACACAAAAGAAGATATAGCGGTGAATCCATCATTAAACATAATTAAACGAATCATAGAAGAAAATATTTTTGAGCTAAAGATGATCTGTGGCTGCATAGTGAAAGGGCTCATATAATTATTTGTAAAGTATATATTAAAACTATGCTTTGTGTGGTTTATGATATACATAAAAGTAAAATGTAAGACAATGACAACGTAAAGTGAGAGGAAGTAAATGAAAGTATGCTGTCAAGAAAAGTTATATATCAAGTGGTCTAATATTTTCTCATTTGTTCTTTTTTATTTTTGGTAGGTTTTTGCCATAGAGAGCTTGCATTTGCCAGAGAGAGAAAGAGAGGGAAAGCAAGACATTACCCTTCTCCCCTGGGGGGTGGCCATGCTACAGTTCTGTCTTTTCTATTCTCCTCTTGGGGTGTTAGGCACACGAGCACATGCACCCGGAGTGATTTTCAAGTTCTCAGGTCTGGGACCCACACCATGGTCCGCTATGTGGGAGTCCAGCACCTTAACCACTATATCACCTGCTGGCCCAAAGTGGTATAATATTAATTCAGGGTAGACTATAAGTTAGTGATAAATATTTTAACCTCTAAAGCAATTACTAAAAACAACTTGAGATAATTAAAATATAATTAGCCATATAAAATAGAACACAAAACAATATTCAATTAATATAAAAGAAATTTTAAAAAAAGGGAAGAAAGTGAACCAAAACCAAATAGGACAAATGAAAACAAATAGACTGTGGGTTTCAACCAAATGGACTAAATATATGAATTTTCTTTTCTTCATTCATGATAAAGTGTGTGCATACATACATAGGGGAGAGAGAGACAGGTGCACCTTGCACAGGGTCCAGTCATACCACAATCTTTCTCCAGACCATCAGATCCTGGACACTAACATGCATGCTTGGTGTGAAGAGAAAAGAAAAATCTGCAATAACTAAAGGGAAAAATACCCACAACTAGGGTTGGAGATTTTCATACTCCTGATGGGACAGTAGCCCCCAAAACAATAAAGATACAAAGATTTATTATATTTTTATCTATTGCATGTATATATAAAGATATGATATCTATATTATATATATATTTATGTATTCATAATACATTTATATTTATAATATATCATATATAACATATATTATAAATATATATTTATATTATAATATATTATAAATATGTTATAATATATATTACATATATTATATGTAATATGTGTTACATATACTTATAAACATATTTTGTATGCATCTTTCTTTTCCAAATCCTAATCTGGCTACCATGAAGGGTCTCTGATACCCTTATAGGAATTCTATAAATTCAAAACTAATAATAGTATTAGTATCTCATAAAACTACTAAGAGTATTTCATAAGAATACTAAGAAACTATATACTGAAATAAAGCATAAGCGAGTATCTTCATAAGGCAAAATGATGGTTATAAAATGAGATATGGGAAGTACTAACACTCCGTAAGAAAACAATATGTAAATTCCACTGTACCAAAACTGTAAAAATTTCTGTTCATTCAATGACACCACTAACAGAATAAACAGGCAAGTCACAAACTAGAAGACAACATTTGCAATATATACATCTGATACAAGTAGAACTCCTACAAATTAATAATGAAAAGTGATTTGTGTCTGTCACTGTGGAGATCACTGGCTTAAGTCCTTTGCAGCAGGACTTACTGCCATTTGCAGCTAATATATATATATAAAACTGATAAAGCATGATCATGAATGTGATTAGACCTCATGCCAAGGCAATAAGGTTTTATTCATATGTCAACAATGAATAGCCTAATCTTTTAAGAAAATAAGAGAAGTAACAGGGACTAAAGGCAGAAAGAAGCAGTTTGAGGTCTGAGAGACAATACGAAGTTTGAATTAAGACAGGGACAATGGAGTGGTGATAAGAGCACAGAATTAAGGGGCATTTAGCAAGCAGAATCCAAAGAGGTTCAGTCAAAAACACTGACAGTGATAGAGCAGATGTGGGAAGTGAGGGAGTAATGGACAGCACACAAGAACCCAGATTTCTGGCTCAGGTATTGGGGAGTGTGGTTGTATCCTTACCAACAAGGAAATCCAGGACGTTTTAGTGTGCTTTTCTGTCACTTACAACTGCATACCATACTGAGTAATTGGCAAAGAACAGAGGTTTATTTAGCTCACAGTTTTGAAGGTCCAAGGTCAAGAAGCCACATTTAGGAAGGGCTTTCTTACTGATGAGGCCCCTCTGCAGAGTCCTGAGCCAACACAGAGCATCACATGGTGAGACAGGGAAAAGTAGAGTATGTTTTGGTGTCTGTCTCTCTACTTATAAATCAACCACATCTAATCATGGCAGGGGGGGGGGGCTCCACCCTGATGACCCTAATCCAAATCACCTCCAAAAAATAACCCCACCCCTTAATACCAGAGTCAGATAAAGTTTCTACTAGCTTAATCCAATCTCAACCAAATTTCAGTATATGAGTTGGTAGGGGAGGGAAGATGCAGGGAAGGGGTGCATTCATACCCACAGTAGAAACTGATAATAAATTTGGCTTTGCGCTTCTTAAGCCAAAGTATTTAAGGGATTTCCAGTGGGAAACAAAATATGGCTCTGTGTTCTACCTGCAGATAGTGTGTGCCCATCAGGTCTCTCTTGCTGGCCTCAGTGAGGCACCTCTTCCATAACAATGTTGGTAGAAGCTCCATATTTCCTCCTTGGCATCACTGATGGTGCCTCTTCCTCCTCACTATGCTTGAGAAAGCTGAAATGGATGGTATCTCCCTCTCTTGCCTCTCATTTGTTATGTCTCAAGGTTCAGAGTCATCTTCATTTTCAGTTAAAAGGCCTTTTCGCAGGCTCTGATTTTGCAGATCTAATGCTTACATTCTCTTCCTCAAGAGCATGATTTTGCATCCCTTTAACATTTATTAAACTTTTATAATGTGCCAGGCTTAGTGCTAGAGATCAGATACACAAAGATGCATGGACATGACTCTTGCCTTAGGAAGATCACTGGGCATGCAGATGCACACCATTATGATGAGATCCAATTATTTGATTAATGTGGGTATGACTGAAATTCAGTGGGATTTGTGAGGGAGAAATAGGCTAGGACTGGGAAATTTTGGAAGGTGCCAGAGGGCTGGTAGCCTCTGGTCTGACACTGCAGTGTGTAGAAGAATCCTCTAGATAGAGCAAGATGGAACAGATAGGGCAGGTCTAAGCCAAAGAACTGTGTAATGACTTGAGGTAAGAGCCTGATATATTAGAAAGCAGGTGATTGCAGACAGCTTAGCATGGCAGGAGTGTGATATGCAAGGACAGGCGTATTTGAGGTGGGTCTGGGGAAAGTAAGTTGAGCCTTGCACAGTGAAAGTCAATAGGGACAGCCTTTTTCTCATTAGAGCTCCCTCCATTAGATGAGGTTCATTAAGAATATGTAGGGGAGAAACACAGCCTACCCAGCATCACCAGAGTGCTTAGGAACAGGACATTTTGCTGGCAAGTAAGGGATAGAGTAAAACAGGTTGTATAAGTCAAGGTGTAGGATTCCTGGGATAGTCCGGCAGGTGGCAACTACCACTGAGCCCAGATACCAGCTCCAGACTGGGCTGTAAACTGCCAGAAAACCTGTCTCAGAGAAGTTTCAGAATTCAGGCTGACATGAAAATCCCAAGGAGCCCAGATCCCAAGCATTAAGCCAAGGGTAGCTTCTATTTGAAATAGGGTTAATCAATTCTAGGGGTGTGGACATGACCAGAGTCCCAGGGGAAGCAGTAGTCATAAGACCCACAGGGACCATCACAACTCAAACAGACACACAGACTTTGTACCCAGGCCTTGCTCAGCAGTTACAGTGGCCACAAGATGCAACACAGGGCAAAAAGAAAGGTTGCAGCAAGAGTGATGGCCATAGCATGCAGCTCCCTATTCACATGTGAATGGCGCAGCCAAAGCACAAGTCCCTGCAAGGATATCCTGTGAGCTTCTGGATTTGCTTACTGGCTCTGAGTGGTTTTATGATCACCAAC